CTAATGGAGATTTATCTCTGGAATCATGAAGTAGTCTTATCTCAATAGTTCACCTGGAAACAACATTTGCCAGAAGCCCTCTCCAGGCTCCATGCTGTCACTTGCACAAAGCGGCTCTGCTGATCAGTAACTGGAGGTGACAATTATTTTCTTACTGGGGAAGACCACTGTGCACCATGTTCCAATATGGATCAATCTTTCACAATGAGGGCTTTCCACCGCTGCTGAAGACGACATGAACTTTTTCTCTATTACTTGTCCCCCAAATATAGAGATTTGAAACAACTCTTTTCATGTGAGAGGTCTCCCATTCTGCCCCTCACTGTGCCCACTAGGTCATGTACATGAGGTCTCCAGGGAGGCTCTTTCCTGCAAGTCCCAGATAAAAGGTCAAATTGACTTCAGTCATCTGGACCCTCACTTCTGCACCTCAAAATGAGGCTCCTTGATCAGTTCATGGTGCTGATAATGCTGTGTATCCCTGATAATGATGGAGGGAGGAGAGGAAGGAGAGCAAATGAGAGAGATGGGGTCCCAATCTTCCTTTTTTGTTCCATCCTCATGAGAGGTTGCAGCTATTTTTGACAGGATGAGAACAAGAACTTGATGTCTGTGTGAGTGAGAAAGACTCCACTTGAGTCGGGACTATGGTGAGGTGACCATGTCACAAAGAAAGAAAAGGATGATGCACATTAATTCTCAAGAAGGGTTCTAATCCTCAGTACTTTATTGTAATTGAACACTTATCATATTTATGAAAATCACAAAAAAATTTAGCTTGAAATATGAAATAAAGGAGACAATGTGAAAATGAATCATGATGCCTGTACATGACCTCGTCTTTCTCTCTAATGATTGAGAGTCAACAAGAGACATTCAGATGACTCAGACTCCACTCTGTCTGTGGCACCTATAGAGCTGGCCTCAATCTCCTGCAGGACCAGTCAGAGCTTCCAGCATTGTGATGGAAACATGTATTTGTATTGGATGGTACACAAGCCAGGCCAGGCTCCACAGGACATGATAAGAACTCTTGGGTCCCAGAAATGTTCAGAGGCAATGGATCAGGAGTAGATTTCACACTCAAAATCAGCAGGCCGCAGGCTGAGGATACTGGAGTTTATTACTGTGCGCAAGGTACACATGAACCTCCCACTGTGCTACAGCCCAGAACACAAACCTCCCTGTCTGGGTAGGCCCAGCTTCCCTCCTGCACTGCTGTCTGGGGAACAGCACAGCACAGCCTGCTCTGTGTGAGAGCAAGAGGTTAAAAAATCAGAACAACAAGGTGCAGCTCCTCTGCCCAGGAGAGAGATTGAGGAAGACCACTGTGCAACAAGAACCAGTGACTAGGAAGAAAAAGAGATGAACACTCTTCACTTGGAGGTCTTCCTGCCAGATATTGATTCACCAGATGCTGTAGTGAAAGTAGGCAGATGGTGACTATATTTAAAAGTCAATACGAATAAATTGTATTGTCTTTCTGGATGTGATATGTGAGAAAAAGTTGAATTTCAGGATTCCTGTTCCAATGGTTTGAAACTGAGCAACCAGAGAATTTCAAAACATATATTGTGAGACCAGGAGAGTTAAAGGGAAGCAACGGTGACCAGCAGGGGAGACTTAGGACATATAATGGTTCAGATTAGAATTGTGAGTGCCAACCTCCAGCTGGCACTATCCTAACCCAGAGTCACAGGAGGGATTCTGGAGATCAGTGAACTTTACTGAGCTAGGAGGACCAATTCCAAAGGACAAAGTGAGCAAAAACAAATGAAAACAGACTGGGACCAGGAAGGTAGTCCAGTGTACAATGCAAAGAGATGAAGACAAATCCACAGGGGAGGCCGAGGACTGGCTACTAAGATAAAGAAAAAAAAAATTAGAAAAGAACTCAAGAGAGATTCATGCCCCAGAGCAAAAATAACATTAATGGGACCATTTTTCACTTTGCAATTGTAAACTTAACCTATATTATACTCCAAGGAAATTTCCCCCTGTGGCTGATTGCTACAAAATGGGCCAGTTTCACTTGTAGACTCACAGCCCCTTGAGTAGAGTAAAGATACTGAAAGTTTCAGCTACAATATGTGGCTGTGCATGTGGTGACCTCTTCTGGTCAATTTCATGCACTGTAAGATCCCAGGGACATTGTTCAGTCCCTTTCAAACTAAGATTTGTCGTACTACTTTACTTAAAACACTGTGCTTTGGCTCAAGTACTGCAGAAGTGTCGCAGATATCTCAGGAAGTTTTAGGCATTTAATCTGCTCATTATTTTCATTTTAGTTATGGAAAACAGGTTCATACAGAACACTAGTGAAACATCATTTCCCTCCTCCTTCTAAAGTGATGCAGTGCTCTTGCAGTCATTAGAATTAACACTTGCACACATCCCTGCCCCAGCCAAACAGCACACAAGCCATTTACAGAAATCTAGTGTCTTAGGCTCTAATGACCTTGCAATACACACTTGCAATGGTGCTATCAACCCAGCCACTGATCCCAACTAGTGGCAGAGGCACAACCAAAATCTTGAATCAAATAACCTTACCAATATCACATTGCCACAATATCACACGATCCTTATTGACATTTATTTGTTACAAGGAAGATCTTGTTTTCACTTACAATCCTGATTTTTTTAATATCAGGTGGCTTTTGTACAAATTTGGATGCATTACAGTTTATCATACAAGTGACAGAGATGTGGGCACTTGCTTCGATTTTGTAACCAAAGCAAAAGCTTCACTGGCCTCACCCTATGCTGTCCTAAGAATCAGGGCCTCAAAGAACAAGGAGGATTGTATGAAAGTGAGACGCAATTTCACTGTGAATAATAGCACATCAGCCCTGAGAACAATGTGATCCATATATAAAAACTCAGGGCTTCCAGTCACAACCAGTGATGAAAGACTCTCGTGGTTAAAGTCCTCCACCTTCAGGTCCAGCTCTCAAGAGAGAAAAAGCCACCCAGTCTTTCACCAGGGTCATAGTCACAGTGGGAAATGAACTGAAGCCTGATTACCAAGGGAAATGGCACCTGGGCAATGAAATAATGAGTCATGAGGCCATGAGCAGGAGAAGAATTCAGCAACCTCAGGGTCATAAAGCAGACCCAGAGAACAGGCATTTGGGAGAAAGGGATGCCAGATAGGACACACGATTAGACAGGAGAGCAGGCAGGGCTGATCACATTGGATCAGCTTGCAGAGAAGAGAAAAATCTCACATCTGGGACTGCAGGTACAGATCAGTGCCAGAGTGCTTCACTAGGATGTGGAGATGCTTGTTCAGTCTTAAACATTCACAATAAAACAGGCAGAAGAAAACCCCCATCTTCATCCATCACAAGACCAGACTTCTAGGAATCTGTGGACATCGATTGGGACACAAGGAGTATTCAGAGTTCACCAAATTCCAAACACAGCAGCCAAGGAGGCTAACAACCATGGGACTTGGGAACCATGACAGTCAGTCAAGAAGAAGAAGAGAAAGTACTGACTACTTTAAGCAGAGACTTGGCTTGATGTGCATTTCTCTTTGTTTTGGAATAAAGGATTTTTATTATTATTTCACGTTTAACATGAGAGATGGATCACTCCTCCCTTCAAATGAAAATGACAGCACTGGAAAAAATAAACTGACTTACATAGAAAGGCTAAGATGAAGAGCCAAGGTTCTCATCCTGGGTCTGAAGTGATCTCCACGCCTCCTCCACAAGGAAGAAAAACTCTGGCCAGAGAAACACACAATCCAGCCTTAACAGGATGGTGAAATTTTCTGGTTGAAAATGAAGACCTCAGCGCCCCCATTACTCTACTTTGTTCTCAGACAGCATCAGGACCTTCAGAGCCCCACAACTAAGATGAGGCAGCAACTAGGGTGACATTCTCAAGGCCAGCTGCTAGGAGGCCACCTGCTGTGGCCACTGGGTAGACTGTGTGCCCAAGCCTGAGGACATATGCCAGCATCTCCATTTAATACTGTGTATGCAGCATTATCATCTGTACAAGAAAGGATCATACAAATCCTCGTTTTTAAGTTTTCTATGAAACTTTAAATGAAAATATTACCCAACTCTGTACTTAACATCTCCCATGAAAGTCCCGAGAACAAAAGATCTTCAACATTTTTATGAGAAAAAAAGTTAGCCATAGAGGATAACAATTCTCTTAGGTAAGAATTGTGTAAATCAATACATTGTTTTCTTCATATGGGCTACCATAATGCTCAGGGCTACAGCAGAGCCACAATCACAGAACTTTTTCCTTTTTAGGACAGGGTGATAGGAATAAATTTTATATTTATGAAAAGTCACATTTCCAGTATATAATACTATTGATTTTGACACATTGCAACTGTATGTCGAAAAACATATTCCAGCTCTAAGGCAGGACCAGCACCCATTGGCTATCCCGAATGCACTCTGTTCACCCACAACAAACTCACCTGAGATGCACTGCTGCCTGCTCCCTGCATAAACGCTCTCAATATCTCAGATACTCATAGATAACTTTCCTTCAATGTGGACACCTCAACTATTTAAATTGCTGTGTTTTCTAGGGAAAATATGGCTTTTTTTTTAAATTTTGGATAAAGTATATCAGTCATTCCTGCTGTCATAATTCCATAGATAGCTCAGTGGGAGGTGAGGATCTCATCTTGGTGCATCCCATTGTATCTTTACACCACACTGAAAACATCACCATGGGCTCTCCATGTTTCCACTCAATATATCTGTTCTCCTGGTACACACTAAGCAAGCAAAAAATGGCCACTTCATAGAAAAATTCACTTTAAAATTTGCTTTAAAATTCACTGTCTTCACTGTCTTAGAACAGTCAATGCTGATTTGCAATTGAAAATAGAGGCATGAATGGAATCAGCTAGCTCATTATTCCCACAGGGGAACAAGGTTTTCCTCCTTAAAAATGGAATGCTTTTAATTAACTGAGGTTGAAAGACTGCAAGGCAGAATCTGTGCAACATATAATCTCACCCTTCTTTCCTGTGAACTGAGGTTTCTCAGCACTGACATCTGGACAGCACACAGTGGGGCTGCACACACAGGTGTGACCTGGAAGGGGACAGAAGGTGAAATGCTGGGAGCTGAGAATATGAGGGACACAGGCTCCGGGACACCTCTAGGAGTTAAAGAAGGACAGATTCCCTCCCAGATCCTCCACAGTGACCACATCCTGATAGCATCCTGGCTCTATCACATTGATAACTGAGTTGGACTTCTGACCTGCAGAACTGTAACATGATGACTTTTGCATGTTCAAGACATAAATCCATGTGAAATCTTACTGTAGAAATGGAAGAGTATAGTGGATGTCTTTACTGACTTTTCCTGTAAGAATCTTCCATAATAAAGTATGTAAGACACACCAGTCCATTTAATTTTCTGCTGAACGCTGTCACCATTTTTGTCAGGAGGAATGGGATACAGTTCTTAGGCAGATAGAGAGAGTGAAACTCCCATGTCACATGGCCAGCAAACAGCAGGACAGAGAGTAAAATGAGTTTGCACTCCAGGATGAAAACACCAGGAGAATGACTCCAACACTGCTGACAGTCATTATGTTATGTCTTCAGCTTACAAACTGCTGATAGTAACAGTGAAATCTCTTCCAAACCCAGGGCAACTGAGCTGGTGAGAGATCCCAGACACTCTTGTGTCTGTACAGTGAGTGAACAGTTTCTGATGAACCAGGATGTGTGCCTGACTTGCTTGATCCTAGCCTGGGCTGCACAGGTAACTCAAGGCCAGGCTGAACTACAAATTGAGATCCAATCCCCAAAATTAAAAAAGATTTCAAAGGAATTACTCCCCCAAAACCATTTTAATTAATCTAGTATATCAGAATGCACATATATGCATTTATATATAGCTATCTATATACATTTACGGATACATATTCCTTCATTTCTGTGTACAATAGATACACCTTAACATGTAAACACATATAGAGAGATGTATTTCTATACAAACATATGTTTATAGTATATTCATTTATATGAAAATATCTGTTCATATTCATATTAAAGTCTCTCTGTGGAAATAAGAAAGATACGATATCCATCAATTAAACTACTGCCCAGGAATTACCTATTGGTTACCTAAGGCACAACCATTGTCTCCTTCTCCACTTGCCTTCAACAGGACACCTAATTCTCTATCCAAAGGAGACATTTTTATTATCTTCCTGGAAAATTCTGTTGACAGCAGTGCCCGATGGTGTGTAACTATTGTGCCCATGAAGACTAACATCTCAATAGTTCACCTGGAAACATTTTCCCGAAGCCCTATCCAGGATCCATGCTGTCACAAGCACAAAGCTGCTGTGCTGAGCAGTAACTGGAGGTGGCAGTGGTTTCCTTACTGGGGAAGAGCACTGAGGCACCATGCTGCAATATGGACTCTGCCTTTCAAAATGGGATCCTTCCTCCTAGTGCTGGACACTACATGGACTTTTTCTCTTCTGCTTTTCCCCAAATATAGAGATTTGAAATTATTTTGCTCATGGGAGAGGCCTCCCATCCTGCCCTTCACTGTGCCCACCAGGGCATTAGCATGGTGTCCCCAAGGGAGCCCTTCCCATCAAGTTCCAGATAGAAACTCAGCCCGCTTTGATTCATCTGGACCCTTGCTTCAGCATTTCAAAATGAGGCTCCCTGCTCATTTCCTGGAGCTGCTAATGCTCTGCATCCCTGGTAAGGATGGAAGGAGATGAGCGTGGAGAATGAGTGAGCAGGCTGGGGTCCCAATGTTTCCTGTGTTATACTCACCATGTGAGACTGCAGCCTTCTTAGAAAGGGTGAGAACAAGAGCTTGAGGTCTGTGGGAGTCAGGAAAATTCCACTGGAGCTGGAGCTATGGTGAAGTGGTGATGTCACAAAGAAAGAGAAGGATGATGCACATTAATTCTCAAGGAGGTGCAAATGTTGGATACTTTATTATCAGTGAACAATTTTCCTATATATGAAAATGGCAAAAGTAATTTAGCTTCAAATATGAAATAATGGAGAGAATATGAAAATGAATCATAATGTCTGTACATGACCTCATATTTCTCTCTAATGTTTTAGGGTCCACAAGAGATGTTCAGATGCCCAGACCCCACTCTCTCTCTTTGTGTCTCCTGGAGAGCCAGGCTCCATCTCCACTAGTTACAAATAGAGGCTCGAGCATAGTGATGGAATCATCTATTTGAGATAATGGTACATAAGCCATACCAGGCTCCACAAGGCATGATTTTTCAGGGTTTCAAAAAGCACTCTTTGGTCCTAGAAAGGGGCAGTGTCAGCTGATGAAGAACAGATTTCGCACTCCAAATCAGCAGAGTTCAGGGTGAGGAGGCTGAAGTTTATAACTGTTATCAAGGCACAGGATGTCCTCCCACAGTGATGCAGCCTTGAGCAAAAACCTTCCAGCCTGGAAGGCCCAGCTGGTCTCCTGCAATGTTGTGTGCACTGAAAGAGGTTCTTAGTACACCATGGTGCATGAAAGGCCTCTGCCCATGACTAAATAGAAAAATAAAAGAGCATGAGGACCTGTGTTTTGTGCAGACTCTGACACATAGAGAAAGAGGATGTGGCTGACTTCCACAGGTTCCTTGATCTTTGCAAATTGTATTCTTTTTTCAATTTGGATGTAAACCTGAGACAGTTAATAAGATGCAATTGGTGTATAATATTTGTACTCTATCTGCCTTTTTCGCTTATTGTGTCAGGTTCACTAGGGGATGAGGTGTTGGGCACAGTTCTCTCAGTCTAGTTTACAGGTTGGGAGATGCAGCCTACACCTCAGGAAGGATCACAGAGTTAAAAAGGTACCTTCTGCACTTTCAAGTATGGGTCAGATCCAATTGCAATATGGAGAAAAGTTGCATCATGGAAAGCTAACACCATGATTAGTAATGATCCTGGCCACGTATGCACTAGGTTCTATCACATATTCCCCACCAATCCAGTGGGCACAGCTGAACACCCAATTTATTTATGAATGACCTCATCAGAATGCAGCAGTGACTTGAAAACAGGAAATGACCCCTCATTTGTCACAGGAATGCCACAAAACCCAGTAATATAACGAGATGCAACGGGGCAAGAGAATTCTCTGGGAATTTCTAACAAGGATCAACAGTAGTTAGGGAATTTATGGTTATGTAAAGCCCTGCCTTTCCATCAGTACCCACCAAGATATGGAAATACAGTAAAAATCAATTAAATTTAACAAATATATCAACTATAAAAATAGAAAAAGGTTCAAAATAATACAGAATGAACTACAAACACATAAATTAATAAAGATGAATTTGACAATATAATAATCTTAAAAGGGGACTGAGAAAATGATAAAATAAACAGCATAAGACAACAATAAGAGAATGAGTTATAGAAGTAAAAACGGACAAGAGATCAAAATATTGGACCACATTAAATATAAGTAAATAAAGTTGGTAAAGGAAAACACAAAACAAAGCAGAGCAAGTGAAGCAAACTCTAGAATTCTCTTGCTGAGAAAGTTATATGACAGAAGTATTTTTCTAGGTTTTCTAATATTGAATTAGTACTTACGTGAGGAGAGTGGTAAATCCCAGCTCAAGACAGATGTACTTCCCTCCCCAACAGTGGATTCTGCAGACAGGTGAGCTCTGCTATGTCTTAGCCCCTGGGCAGGACCAGGAAAGGATGTGTGTGTGTGTGTGTGTGTGTGTGTGTGTGTGTGTGTGTGTGTATGTGTGTGTGTGTTTCTGTTTGTCTATGTGCATGCCTGCTTATGCATGGAGCTGCTGACCCTGCACCTAGCTGTGCAGCCTGCTGGCTGGATAGTCACATACTTGGGGCAAAAGTATCCACTCTGCACTTTCAGATATGGAGCTAAGGTCCATTTGAGGTCACATCTGTAAATGTGTTACAAAGTAGAGGAAAGGAATTCACCACTGACTCCTACACTGACAGGCTCAGCAGATGAAATGAAACATTTGCCATATGGTCTTATTCTCACTGTATTCAGAACCACACCCCTCAGCCAGCCACATTCAATGGGTCCACTGATTTCCACACAAGGCAGGGTCCTCCACAAGAGGAGTGACAACCACTTTAACTCTGAGCAAGCATGAGCATGATCTTTCCCATCTCCACAAGTGTCTCATGAGGCCACCTACCAACAGGCACTACAGGACAGGGGGCTTAGAGTCCACTCTGTTTTCTGAAGCCCACAATAGTTCACTGCCAAGTATTGGGACTTTCCTAAGATGGCTCAGGTTATATCACTCCTGGATATCACAAGAGTTACAATGAATTTCTACTCAGAAATACACATGGTCTGCAGAAGCTCTCACTTGCAGAATAAATTCCTTACCTGAGTTTCAAATTTAGAAGAGTAACTGGTTTCTCCTTAGACATTGGGAAAGCGGCTGATACAGAGTCAAAATATCATCACAGAAAATGTATTTGTGTGACAAAAACAGATACAGAGGACAAAATAGAAGCTCTAAAGCCGACTGGGGAACTCTCCAGATGTGATGCAGAGAGCTTCAGCTGCAAGTAAAACATACATCTCAAAGGGGCTGAGGCTACACAGTGACACCCTGGCTACCTCAGATCCACAATCCTTGTGAAATAGGGCACGGAAAGCACACAAAAGAGAGAAATAAAGAAAAGGGAGTGGGAGGACAAGTGAAGAAAGAAAGCAGGAGGAAGAGGCAGGAGAAGGGAGACAAGAGAAGAGGAAAGAAAAAAAGGGAAAAATTTAGGACCCATTTTTTTAATTTTGTCACCAAACCTGCCTGAGCACCTGTCACATTCATCTGAAAAGTACTGAAGAGCACAGCAAACAGGAGCTCTGGTCTCCACGCTGGGCATGAGCCACACAGCAGAAGCCTGAGCCAGAAATCGCTTTGTGCAGACTCCTAGGGGCCTAAACTAAATTGGCTCACAAGTGCTCTCTGTGAGTGAAGTGTACAGCAGAGGGGGGATAGAAATTACCATTCCCACAGGAATGAATTGGTGAGCTGAAAAGAGGGCTCAAAGTACCCTAGGAAATGAGATTTAAAAAAAACAAGATTTCCTTGAAAGTAATGAGTGCAGACCAATATGAGCTAATATCTGTATTTCAAAAATGTCTGCTTCAGAAAGATTGGGAATTTTAACCTTTAACGTGGTAGATGAAGTGCAAAATGAAACCCTGTTTGGAGGAGGATACAGCGATACAAAATCCTCAGGAATGCTCACAGCAGCTATGTAAAGAGCCATAAATTACAAAGTCAGCCATGCTACATACTAAAATTCATATAGATAAGGTAAATATCACTGAAAATATCAGACAGCAAAAGGCTCTTCCAATGCTTCTGATCTAGTTCCTAGGACAAGATATTTAGGAAATAAATTTTAAACTTCATATTATTTAAGAAGTAAAGGAAACTAAGGAAAAATAAAACATTAATCAGCTGTAGAAAATTGACATCCCAATACATTTTAGACACACTATAAAAGCACTGAAATCATCCTCATAATTAAGCCACAAATATTCACAACTCAATTTGTGGTTTATTAATTGATTTAATCAGTGAATATCACCATTAATTTTGCTTTCAGAATATTATTGCTATAATTGTATTCTTAGCTATGAAATATTAAAACAAATTCTTATACCTTGATATGAGTCTCATCTAAGATGCTCATTCACTTCAATACAACACAGCCAAATAGCATGTGGTTTTTAAAGCCTCCTTATTTACAAGGACAAGTATATGAAAGCTGTTCCAATGTGTCTGAGTCTGATGCTAACAATTCCTGGTCTCCTCTCACTGTGTGTTAAGCTTTAGAACTTTGTCATGTGTCTGCTCCAATGAGCTGAATTTTTTTTTTCATTTCATTCCTATTGATCCTTGTGAGACAGATGAGGAACAGGGCCTAAGGAGTCCAGATAGGACCAAAAAATGAACGTTTCAACTTCTCAGACTGTTTGGTAGGAGCCCACACATTCAGAAGACAGTCACCCAATACAGATAGTGAACAACAGTCAGCCCAGCACAGTGAGGCTGAGTCAGGAAGATGGACAGGTGGAGCAGAAACTGGGCAGGTGAACAATGCTGAGACCCAGTCTCAAAATCAGAGAAATACAAAGGACTGGTGATACAGCTTTAAGCCCCAAACACACACACACACACACACACACACACACACACACACACACACACGATAAGTACAAACAGCGTCTCTTATTTACAATAAAACAGTGGTTGATAAGTACAAACAGCGTCCCTTATTTACAATAAAAGCACACATTATAGCATCCTTATTTACTAATTTTGCCACAAACATTCCTGCCCAAATGTGTGCGAGGCACAAGGCAGCTTTGGGCTGCAGTAAAAAATCACACGAATTTACAGACCAATGACAGCTTGGCTTAAATATCTCCCATCTCAGTTAAACTCCAGGACCATAGCAGCCTTTGGTTCAAACTACCCTGAGGCATTAAAACCCTGGATTCAGTGGGGACATCTGACATTGAGAATGTCTCTTTAAACCGTGGAGCATGACTGCACAGTATTTATTAAAACAAAGATTAGCTATGAAAAGCTTGCTTTATGATAGTTCAGAAAAAACTAGCATCAATTATTTCTCCTTTAGTATAAAACCAAGAGAAATCTTTGCCTAAAAAATAAAACTGCTGTGTGTGTGTCTGTGTGTGTGTGTGTGTGTGTGTCTGCAAAACAACAAGCTTGAACAGATATTGACCAATTTGAAAATCTAGTCACAAGGAATTTCATATCCACCTATATAAGTCATATTGTATAAGATAGAGCATATTATATAAGACAGAATTACTGGTCTCCAATTTGAATACAGATGTTTTTCTCTGTATC